AACATCCCAAGATTCAGGTACTTTAAATTCATCACTATGATTTTATCATATGACATTTTAGTCCCTAAGTCCATGGGAATAAGCCTTGAAGCCTTGTAGCAACTTCGTAATTTGAGCAGGATGAGTACGCTAAGCGTACATGAGGGTACGATGAGCGTACGAGGGCACGCCCTAGTACGCTGGGCGTACACTTATGTACGCGGGCGTACTCTTTTCAGGAGAAAACCCTAATTGTTAGGGTTTGGGTGGTATATAAGCATCATTATGGCTCATTTCTCCCCACGTTTTCAGCCTCCATACACTTTGAGTCGTTTTTGGCAAACCCTAGTCCCTTAAGAGTGTGTTTGTGCTAAAAAGTGTGTTTTTGGTGTGCTTAAGGAATAAATAGTTGCATCAAGGAGCTTAGAAGTTGAAGCAAGCTTGTGGATCTTGGATCATTACCTTTCTAAGGAGCTCCAGAAGGTAAAAAGTCTTCATCTTGATGCGTTGTTTGATTAAATTTGGTTTTGGGATACTTATGATGTTCTTCTTGTCCTAAAGGTCCTATTTTTGTGCATGAATGGTTATTGTTGTTTTGAGTTGTCCTTCCAGACCCTAGGAGGGGTCCTTAGCCATAAAAATGAGGTCCCTTTAGCTAGTTTTGCTCCATGCATCTTGTAGAAGGTGTAAATGGATTAAGACCTTGTGTTATGGACTTTATGGACGTGTAGAGTCATAAATTAGGAAACTTTATGACCCTAGTATGCCTCTGGACCTAGGATCTGAAGTTTGGACTTAAGTGTTGAAGCCATTAAGCACCTAATGAAGAAAATGGGGTTGTGAGGTTACGCCCCGCATAGCTTGGAGTACGTCCCGTGTACTTGGTCAGCCACCCCGATGGTGGTCTTCTGTGCAGCTTCGCGTACGCTGAGCGTACCTCCGGAGTACGCCCCGCGTACTCACATGGGTTAGCCCATGTTGAGTTAACTCGGTTGGGTTGACTCGGCTGGGTTGACTCAGTTGTTTTATTGGGTTTGACCAGTTAACTTTGAGTTTGACCAAGTTTGACTTTGAGGGCATTTCGGGTATTTTGGGATTTTGATGGAATTGGTCACTTGGTGGATTTAGGTTTTGTGTTGAGAGTTGAGATTCGGAGTCGGACCTCATCAGTTCTATCCAGTTGTGAGGTGATTTTTCCTCACTGTACTTATGGGTCGAAGGCACCAAGGTCGGCCATTTGGATTGTTATCCTGGTTAATCGTATGATTGTATGCTGTAGTGATCTGTTAGATCTGTATCCTGGTAGATAGGATGATGCTATGCTTAGTGATCTATAAAATTTGTCTGCTTATTATTGGCTGGTTAATTGTGATTATCTGTTTTATATATATAATATATATATATATATATATATATATATATATATATATATATATATGTGTGTGTGTGTGTGTGTGTGTGTGTGTGTCGACACGGTGTATGTGTGGTTGGGTTGAGGCGGTCTTGCTTTGTGCTGAAGGCCAACAGACCCAGGGCGTTTTGGATGGACTGAAGGCCAGTGGGGTGTATCAGTCAGGCCAAAGGCCCGGAGAATGTTCCAGATAGGCTGAAGGCCCGGTGTGGCGTGTCACTCATCTTGTAGGTTCTGTGAGCGTACCAGGTAGACTACAGGCCGGTAGGGCGTTCCAGTCAAACTGAAGGCTCTGTGTGCATGCTGTTTATTGTTATTATTCTGATTTCATGTTGTGTCGGTATGTTGGGGGAACTCACTAAGCTTTGGGCTTACAGTTTTGGGTTATGATTTCAGGTACCTTAGATGATCGCGGGAAGGCAAATGCATGATCGTGCACCTCCTCATGTTTTGTTTTATGATTTTGGGAAAACTCTGATAATAAACATGTTTTGAAAAGTATTTTGTAAACAATGATGGCTTGTGGGATTGTTTGAAAAGTTTAAATTTTTCATGAATTTTATGTATGTTACATCTACTTTCAAGCTTTGCAATCAAAACATTTTTTATGTGATTCAAATTTTTTTCTTTTTCATTTGCATCTTCCATATATGAAGAAAATTATTTATGAATTCTTTTGTAGGATATGTCTTTAATCGATGTAAGAGTGCATCTTTTTTTGTTTCGTTTAAAGAACGACCTTCTTTTTGAACTTTAAACGTTGCATGACATTCATTTCATATTTTGGTTTGTCTTGTACTAAACGATGCAATTTGAGCATCATATTTGCCACACATCAAATGTAAATGTTTCTTTATTAGTAAAACACACATGTAAGTGCAGTAGATAAAAATAATAACTTAAATTTGTTTTCAAAGAATAAAACACTTACAAGTATAGATTATATCCAGAATATCACTTATATCACTTATACCATTATAAAGTTAACGTCATATTAGTTCAACAATTATTCCACAGAAATATTATACCAACAATAAACAATAAAATAATATATTTTAAAATACACAGTATATTCTTTGTTTATAGCATAAGTGATGAAGTTCATTTTTATTTACTAGTAAATGTATTATCTTTTGGAAAAATATTAATTTTTGTAAATGTATGAAACCATACTTTGTCAACTTTTTGATAGATATGTTTTTAATATTGTTATGAAAAAAAAAATCAAACTGATTACATAGCTTACCCTGCATTTGAAGTTGAAACCGTTTCATTTCGAAAATTGAATTACAAATTTCTTTTTCAATTTCGATTGATAGCTTTCGTTTTTTTTTTTTATGAAGAATCTTTACAATTTTTTTCTCAGCAATAGGCTATAGTTATAATGATAACCATAATCACGCTTTCTATAATGGAGCATTTATAAATAATTATGTTAATATAAATACTTAAAAATGTCTATATCTAATGTGCATTTAAATTAAATCTGAAATTTAAGTGTAAATGTGATCACTCCATTTTATTTAGAATGGAGGAAATTATTCAAGATGTGATAAAAGATGTCAGTGATCACTCCATTTTATCGTTAACTAAAATATATTGCCACTTTGCAGGCAGATAAGCAAACAAAAGAAAATAAAAATATATTAAAAATAAATATGGTAACTGTCATCTTATCAATAGATGATATGATTCAAGAAGTAAGACATGACATGTTCATGCATTTTCATCTAAGGAAGAAATTGTTAAATTTATGAGATAAAATAAGGGCTAATGTCATAAAAACCCTCAAGTTTTTAGGGTTTTGTCGGTTTTGCCCAAAGTTGAATTTTATGTCTGTTTTTACCCTAACATTTTCCAAAAAATGTTCGGTTTTACCCTTTTACCGGTGATAACAGGTTACCATTATATTAACTTCGCAAAAAACCCTTAAGTTTACAGTTTTTTTACGTTTTTACCCTTAAGTTTATAATTTTTTTTACACTTTTACCCTATGTATTTTTTTTCATATTATACGTATTCATGCAGAAAAATCATATTTATATACGAAAAAGTTTTAATTAAATATTGTGTTTATATTTTTTTAATGTTATTTCTTTATATATATATATATATATATATATATATATATATATATATATGTGTGTGTGTGTGTATGTGTGTGTGTGTGTGTGTGTGCGCGCGTGGGGGGGGGGGGGTTCTTGGATAAACCATTTAAGATGTAAAAAAACACAAATTAATATGTTTTTAGAACTACAAATACGTATTTTTTGTATTTAAAAATATACATATCAATAAAAAAACTTGTTCCAATCATAAACATGTTTATATAAGTATATACATATATTTTTAGAAGGTAAATATGTATTTTGGATATAGTTTTTTTAAAAGTATAAATATATTTTAGAAGTATCGATACATATTAATATATAAACAATGTAAAATATGTATTTATACTTCTCAAACTATATCTATAAAACACATACTCATAATTCTAAAAATATTATTTATATTTTAAAGGGTATAACCCTTGCAAAAAACACACACAAACAAACAAATATATATCTATATATATATATATCTATATATATAATATATATCTATATATAACATTAAAAAATATATAAATACAATATTTAATTAAACATTTTTTCGTATATAAATACGATTTTTCTGCATGAATACGTATATTATGAAAAAAATTACTTAGGGCAAAAGTGTAAAAAAATTATAAACTTAAGGGTAAAAATGCAAAAAAAAGGGTAAACTTAAGGGTTTTTTGCGGATTTAATATAATGTTAACCCGGAAAACCTGTTATCACCGGTAAAAGGGTAAAATCGAACATTTTTTCGAAAATGTTAGGGTAAAAACGGACATAAAATTCAACTTTGGGCAAAACCGACAAAACTCTGAAAACTTGAGGGTTTTTATGACATTAACCCATAAAATAACAATGGTTTCAATGAAAATCTGTACCTAACCATACAGCTTAAGCACTTTCCCATAAACACCAAATGGTATATGGTTAAAGGACATATTTACAGTTGTGGGAAAAAAGACACACATGTGTTTGTGTGTTCAATGGATATTCTCAATCTTATTGATGAAATGGTGAAATAAAGAAAAGTTTTCTTGAAGACACTCTTGAAGGAATGAAAATGTTTTTTCTTTGTTATTTTCAAGCAAATTTTTTTTTTTTTAACATAAGAAGTTCATGATGTTATAAAAGTATATTTTGGGATATTTATTTAATGCATGTTTTATTTACAAATAAAAACAACAAAAAGATGTTAGATGTCTTAGCTTTCACGTGTTCGGAGAGGGAAAGAAGGGGAAGGATGTGGGGAAAGAAATCACTCTTGCATGTATATATATATATATATATATATATATATATATATATATATATATATATATATATATATTAATGCAATATTCAAGAGATTTTTTTTATCATACAAAATATTAGCCATTTCAAAAGTTATTGATATTTTATGTTAACTAATTTTATTAAATGCATAAGTTGAAAACAATATTATATGAACATATAAAGCATATAAATATTGTATAATTTTGATAAATAAGCGTGGAGTTCTGGATCAAAAAGTAATTGGGCCAATAAACCAAAATAAGAAGACCCGCAGCCCATTGGAGGTACAAACGTCAGAAAGTCGTCGTCGTCGTCGTCGACACTGCTTACAGAGAACCGTCGTCGAGATTTCAATGGAAAGACCTCCACCACCACCGCCGCCCCCTCTGCCGCAACCACCGAAGGAAACTCTTGCTCGAGGTTATAAATTTGTCTGGCGTATTCTTCTCATTTCTAACCTTGCTCTCGGAGGTCAGCCCACCTCTTTCTTTCTCCCTTTCTCTTTTTGATGCACTTACAGCTTGTTTCAGAATACTGAAGCATGCGTATATATAGCATCTATATCTCGATTTCATTTATTTCATATGATTTATGCGATCCGTAGGTTTAGGTAGAATGCGATTTAGACGTAATCTTAGGGTTTGATGATCAAACGCCGTAAACTTAAATTTTAACTTTCCCCCTTCCATTTTATGTTTGGATAATCGTGCACGACTCTAAATCCGACATTATTAGGTGCTAAATTTCGCAGTAAAGAAAAATGCGTATATGCTGTAGTGAGCAGAGACTAGTTATGAATATTGTATGTTTCAAATTGGGAAGCAATTAGGGTTTCATACAATCCATTTTAGAATCCATTATGCAAAGATAAATTTGTTCCCAAGAATTCCCAATTTGGTTTATACATCAAGTTCAAGATAACTAGTTGAATCTAACTTTGGAATAATTGGATTACTTACATCATTAGTATGTAGTTTGTTCATAGGATCACAGTTAACATTCATTAGTTCTTCATCTTCTTATAAGAAATACACTGAAATCTGAGAGATAATGGGCACATAACCATTCTTTATTTCTTAATTTACAGCATACATATTTACAAGGCCAAGAAAGAAAGAGGCAATGAAAAAAGATAAGAAAGTTACTGTAGCTCATGAGATAAAAACCATTCCTGATTCTGAAGAACATGAACATACCACAACCCCTGTTTATGAACCTGAGAAGATCCCAATTCATGAAAATCAATGGTCTAAACCCTTCAAGTGGTAGTTAGTAATTACAACTTGTTACAATAATCGATATCAAATTCAAAAGCTCTTTTTGATCATCTTATAGGTGTCTTTTATAAAGAATGTGACTTGTGGTTGATGATTAGATTAGGTTGAGGAACAAAGAAAGAGAAGAGAATGACTGTTGGTTTATTATATTTTGGTGGAAATCAATGGTTGTGCTTCCTGTTCCTTGTTTTCTATGTTGTTTATTCATTTTTTTTTTCTTTAAATCTTTTGAGCAAATAGCACCAAATAGCAATGATGTTACCTATTCCCAATTTACCCTTGATGTAATCATAGTTTTAAGGTATTGGTTGTCACCAAACAATCATTTCTGGTTTTATTTGTTCTTTGTGAACATGCACATGGAAGGGTTTTTTTTGTCTATGTCGGTCATTGGCAAATTTTGATTTTGATCACATACTATTTCTATTTCCAAATTCCAAGTGGTGTCCATGTGGGTTAACTTATATTAATTATTGAAATTATTGAAAGAGAAAATGACAAAAACAAAAAAATATATATATCAACTTTTTTAAAACTTAAGGTTTTCCCACAAATTCCGCATGTAGAACCCAAAAATTACATTGATATTTTAATGTAAACCGTGAAATTGTTCTTTTTATATGAAAATCATGATTTTATGGAGAATTTTTTTGCTGTTTTTTTGTGGTAAAATCTTTAAAAATATTTTCGGAATAAATTAAAGGTTTATATTTTGCCAAAAACAAGTCTTAGGTAGTGATAGATTAACACAATAAAAAAAATATGATGCAAGACTAAGAAAAAATGAAAAGAAAAAAATATATATTCTTCATATTTAGCTATAATTTGAAAAAATAAAATACTTGACATATGATGCAAGTCTTTTGTTAAAACTTATAACACATTTTTTACTTTTATGAAGGCTAGCATCTTTAAAATTGCAAAACTTGGGAAAATGACTTAGAATGATAACAAACTATAAGAATTATACAAAACATATCATTAATTTGTTTTTTAGAGTACACATATTAGCAACCAACTATAGTTTTTATACATGAATCGCTATTAAACTTTACATTTTATTCAAAAAATATATCATAGTATTACCGTTAATAGTAGGTTAACAGCCACGTAGCATGTTACATGGTTGTTGATGAGGATTTTATTGTTTACTATGTATATCATTGAACTTTTTTTGTACATATTTTATCATTAATCTTATATAATTCATCTAAAAAATACAATTTCAAAAAATACATATTATTACATACATATAAAATAATTTTACAAATAAACTCATGTATAAACATATAGTTTTACATACATATAAATTTTTTTCTTTTACATAAATGTGTTTTTTCATATAACTAGACATTTCAGTGTATAAATATATATTTTTACATTCGAATACTATAGTCTGGTCATAAAGTATACATTGTTACATTCAAATATATAAATACTAATGTCCAAGCTAGAGTGCTAGTAGTTTAATTTCTTATGAAGTAATGGATAATTGTATATTTAGTTTTGTAGATTTAAATGGAATAACTTCGGCTAAAATAATAGATAATTGAGTATTTATATACTTATACATTTAAATGTAATAATGTATACTTTCAAATGTCAATATGTATGTATATATTTAAATGTCTATATATACACAAAAACCACATTTATTGTAAAAGTACTTTTTATATATATATGTAAAAACATATGCTTATACATTGAAATAGTTTGAACTTATTTGTAAAAATACTTTATATGTATGTAATAATATGTATTTTGAAATTATATATTTTAAACAAATTATATAAGATTACTGGTTAAAATATGTATTAAAAAAATAAAATTTAATGGTAAATTATACTTAAAAAAATAATATAATATGAACATAATAAATGATAAAATCCACGTGACATGCCACATCATGCACAACTACATGGCTGCTGACCTATTAGTACAAATAACAGTATTTTTGAACAAAATGTAAAGTCTAATGATTATATGAAGCTATAGTTGATTGGTAATACATGTACACAAATAAGTTCAATGATATTTTCTTACAATTCCTCTACTTTGTTAACCTTCTAAGTCATTTTGCCACAAAACTTTTGTTCCAAAATGGAATGGAACAACAAGCCTCATTATCAAAACTAAGCAAATCCAAAATCCCATCAATAAAGTGTTAAATTACAAGATTTATAATAGTAAGCTGCAATTTCTACCTTCCTCTTCAAACAAAACTAACTCAACTAATTCTTCTTATAAAGTAGTTTTTTAAAATACACGTTTGTTATAAATGCTGCCTAAATGCACATATCTGAAATCTCTCAAAAGTAAGATCCGTGTTTTGTTGTTTGGATTCTAATTATGAATTAATCGGCTTGCCATTTAATTTGGGAAATGGATCCTGTTTGCTTAAAACTGCCACTTTACTCTTGTGAGCAAAGTACCCTTTCACCAAATTCTTGTATATCAATATTGACATTATGCATTCAACCTGTCAAACAACTCAAACTATAAGGACCAAATATGTAACATTCACAAACTTTAGTTTACAACTTATCCAAATCACAAGTATATCTACAACTTACTAAGGGACTATTTGATGGTAATTTTCAACAATAACTTTTGTAATCATAAATAAAATTCCAACCAAACTGTTTGTGTAAAAAAATTGGATTATTTATTTTTCAAAAAGGGCTTTTTATAATAATATTCAATAAATCTTTTGATAAATAAACTTTACCTCATCCAAATCCATCTCCATCTCAAGCCATTTCAATGCTTTAACAATTACTTCTAATTTAATCTGGTGCGCCTTACTAGGGTCCTTCTGCTTTTGTATAAAGTATCTGCCACGTCAGCACAAATCAAATCAACACCATTATATATTTATATTTATATCCTACAAAAATTCTAACAATATTAATTTAGAATTAAGAGTAAATTACACGAATGGTCCCTATGGTTTAGGGTAATTTGCACGTTTGGCCCCTAACTTAATTTTTTTACTTGGAAGGTCCCTACTGTTTGTTTTTGTTACGCGTTTGGTCCCTGTCTTACCTAAAAAGACTATTTTGCCCTTGATTTTCTAATTTATTTAAATAAACGCACCCCAACCCCACCCCCCTCACCTTACCTTACCTACCTCACCATTTTTCTCTATTTAAATAATAGTCTTTTTAGGTAAGATAAGGACCAAGCGCGTAACAAAAACAAACTGTAGGGACCAAGCGTGTAACAAAAACAAACAGTGGGGACCTTCCGAGTTAAAAAAATAAGTTAGGGACCAAATGTGCAAATTACCCCAAACCATAGGGACCATTCCTATAATTTACTCTAGAATTAATAACTCACATTTTCTTCACCAATCGTTGATACACCTGAAGCTCTAACTTCTCAAGAACAAGATATACACCCGATCTCAAGAATCTGTATATGTAACAACAAAACATATTTAATTTTCCAAAAAAAAAAAAAATTGGTTAAAATTATTTTTATAAAAAAAAAAAAAAAAAAATACCGATCTTCATGCTCTTCAAGTGCATGCTTAAGAAGGCGTAAATCACCTCTCCTCATAGCTACCACAATGTCACTATACTGTAACATGATTAGAAAGTAAATAAATAAAAAAATACATTTTTGTAATTATATTTAATATAAAAAATATTTATTTTATAAGAATACCTCAATCAGGTTATACTTCTCAAGGAGTGTTCTTTTAGGTAAGATCCCTATCGAAAGCTTCACAGGTATTAAATATTTCAAAATCATCCTGTTTCAAAAAAAAATTAAATATTATTATCTTAAGATAAATAAATAAGTAAATTACATGAAATGGAAAACAAACCTTATGTTTGCTTCAGTTTGAGGGTCACAATGTGATAAAGCATACGATAATTTATGATCAGCCTAAAGAAAAAAGAAAACGAAAATATAATTATTAAATAAATATTTTTCCAATTAAATGAGATAAAAAAAATTATAATTAGGGAATGTGGGATTAATTTACAGCTGGAAAATTTTCGTTGAGCACTTCCAAGCGACCAGTGTAGTACATGTAGGTTACCTGTAACAAAATAACATTAAATAATTATAAAATGTTTTATATTTATTATAATATTTAATTTCTTACCTTATCTCTAACAGGAAATTCCTCAAAATCAAATATTCTTGCAGTTTCAATGCTTCTTATCACACTTCTACAAAGATGAACAGTTCCAAGCTGCAATATAATTTTTAGTTTCTCAACATAAATATTACAAAATAAAGTAAAAACCCTAAAAAAGAGTTAAAAAGATGAATAAAATGTAAAGAAGTGTCACCTTGAAATAAACTTTGAACAATTGGCAAGTGACATAAAGTGCTCCAACACGTTTTGGTCCTTTTCCCTATAATTAAAATACCACATTCAAAAATTGGATGAAATAGCAATGTACTTTATTTTCTTTAAACATATATCTATTTCCATTTTATATTTTATTTAAATAATTGTTGCTTAGAAATTAGAATATATTTGGAGTATGAAGTGAAAGACATACAGCAAGAACTCCAAACACTTTCATAAGGAAGGATCCAGCTGCTTTTAGTTTCTCTGGAGTCTTTCCATTTGAAGCCAATTCTCTATCAGCCTGAATGCATAATACACAACTTCAAAAAGGTCATTTTTGTCATTTTACAGGAACAAGAGTAATGAAACTGTTTCTTAATCTTAATCTTAATCTTACCCTCTCAGCAAGAATCCTAATTTCATATACAACTACATACAAAGCTTCTAATGCCCATGCTGATTCCCAGTTTCTGAATTCCTGAATGAAAGCACTGAATAATGTTCCATATTAGCATACTATCAGTAAGATAAAAGTGACAAAAGTAAAGAAAAACAAAAGAGAATTCAAACATCAAAGTGGATATGAAAAGTACTTGGAAGATTTTTCAAATGCTTGATATGATTCAGCAAAATGGCTGACCCTATAACTCTGCATAGCCCGAAATAAAGGAGAGACTATTTCAGCATACTGAGAGTACTTGTCTGCTTGTCTGATCAATCTGTTAGCATCCTGGATACATAAAAATCGATAAGGATACTGGATATATGAATCCTAATGAACAATCGAATCTACATAGAAATCACTGGAGATATGTAATTGATTCAACCTGGAAGAGATTGAGGGCATCGGCGAGGGCGAGAAAAGATGGAGATTCGGAGGACAGCGAAAGAAGTTGTTTGAGAGATGTGCCGTCTTGGTACGAAACGACGTCGGCGAATCGATTCAAATACTCTGTTATCCTTCTGTGTGCATCTCCCATGCTCATGTATGACGCCATTGCTAGCTATTCTTCAGCCCTTCTACTACAAGTCTTCCGTTTTCCGATCTTTTTATGTATGTATGTGGTGATGTAAAGTGGTGAAGATCTGGTTAGGGTTTTCACGAACTGATAAAAATTGGATATTGAAAGAGGAAAGACGATTAATTGCAAACAAATTGTAGAAATTGCTTCGAATTGGTAACGACTGTTGTTCATGAACACCAACCCTCGAGTAGGAACCTGCACACAGGTGAATTTATACACATGGTGCTGTACGAGGGTTTTGGAATGGATGTATTCTTTCTTGACTACTGTTTTTGTTATTTGACCAAAAAAAATAACAAGCAACTGAATACCAAAATATTGCGGTTAAAAAATTGAAAAAAAAAAAAAACCAAAAAAAAACCAAAATAAAATCATGAGAAAATTGCAATAAAATTATGAGAAAATTGCAAGAATTGTCATGTTCACAAATTTTATGGGTATAGTCAATCAAGCGTCATTGACTCTACCCGACTCACTCACTGATGATGATGGTAGTAGTATTTTTTTTTATATGTTCACATCACCTCAATCGAACTTCTTTCAATTTTTTGTTAATGTTCACCACTCCTAACAAAATTCTTATCGTCGCATTTGGTATCCTGTATAGTAAAATTTTGCGACAAGTCCACCTCAACATCTTCATTTCTGCTACTTCCATCTTTCTCTAGCGATCTTTTTCTGTTCGACCAACATTTATCCCCATACATCATGAGAGGTCTAATAGTTACTCTATAAAACTTCTCTTTCAACTTTAATAGATTTTCCTGTCACATAAGATTCCTAAGTCCGCCGTTCATTTTAACCGATATGTCTTTATACGATGGGTGACATTTATATCAACACCCTTCCTTTATGGATCATGTATCCTAAATATTTGAAGCTATCATTCAGGGGAAGGGTTTGATCCTATATACTTACATCTACTCATTTATCATTCGTAACCCCACTAAAATTGCAGTAAATATACTATGTTTTAGCGGAGTTGATTTGTAGCCCTTTTTCTTCTGACGTCAACCTCCATGTATTCAACCTAGCATTTAACTCGGTCCTGGTTTGCACCACCAACACGATGTCATCGAAAAAAAAAGTATACACCAAGGCACTCCCCCTCTGGATCTCATGTGACATCTCGTCCAAGATCAAGGTGAAGATATACATGTAACGTCCAAAAATTTCACGCCAAATTCAAACTTTTTAAATCACAAATAAAAGTCAAATAGTATTGTTTACAAAAGGTTTTCAAATCAATATCCATCAGAGTGTCCCAAAATCATAACATAAGGATGAGGAGCGGTACGGTCACGCCTTCGCCTTGCCACGATCTCCTGAAGTACCTGAAACAATAAACTGAAAACTGTAAGCCTGAGGGCTTAGTGAGCTACCCCCAAAATACCAATACCACACTGACAATACCATATCAGTAACAATCAATCAATCAATCATGCATACTGGGCCATCGGCCTGACTGGTCCGCCCTACCGGGCCTACAGTCTATCTGAATCTATTCATGCATACTGGGCCATCGGCCTGACTGGACAGCCCTACCGGGCCTACAATCTATCAAAATCTATCCCGAGCCTTCGGCATGACTGGTCCGCCTCGTGGGCCTGCAGTCTCCCCGGACCGCTCATAGGGTATGTTGGCCTTCAGCACAAAGCAGGACCGCCTCAACCCAACCAATAAGCAAATAACCAAGTTCGCATAACTATCATATACTGGCATATACAAACATCAAACATATCTGTCATACTGATCATCAACCATAGAATCCTCTCGTAACTAGAGTACCGACCTAGCAGGTCACTAACATACCAATCCTTACGGATCATAAAGCATAACATACTGTCTACCCTGATTCCGATCTAGCAGACCAAACCATATGTAGCATACCATAACAATAACAACTAAAAGGGCCGGCCTTGGTGCCGTAGACCCTATCGATATAGTGAGGATAACTCACCTCGCAGATGCCGACTCAAAAGGTAAACTCCAATTCTCGGATCACTTGACACAGGCTCCACCGCCTATGACCATAGTACAATATACTCATAACTCCTTAAATCTATAAGGTACTCCATAACCCACCAGTCAACCCCTGGTCAAGGTCAACAGTCCATGTTGACCCCTAACTCGCCGGGTGCCCTTGGCTACTCGCCGAGTTCCTCGAAGCACATTCCACTCGCCGAGTCATCGGGGTGACTCGTCGAGTTCCTTCGATTCCCGTTCAAACTCTAAGGCCACCCGTCGAGTTTCCTCCTTGCCACTCGACGGGCACACATGCATACATATCCTAGGGAAAACTCATCCGACTCGCCGAGTTGTTCTTCAACTCGTCGAGTCTTATGGTGATCTTCATCGGACTCGCCGAGTTGTTCATCCAACTCGTCGAGTTCACGACCATCTTCATGTGACTCGTCGAGTCAACCTTGCGACTCGCCGAGTCCATTCAATCCTTTTTCCATACAGACTTGTTTTGAGCCATGCAGCGGCTCCAAATCACAGATCCAAAGCTTCTAGGGCATGCTTTTCACGTAAAGTTGCAAACTTTACGTGCATGCATGACTAATAAGGCTCTTAATGCCAAAACTAAGTTCTTAATGGGGCTTTATGCACAAGGAGGGCCTCATGCTCGACAAAAATCAGAGCTTTATGACTCTAGAACCCAAGAAGGTTACAGATCTGAAGTTACAACTTCAGATCTAGCTCATATCCCACATTACCATCTCAACCAAACCATAAAAACCCTAGATCTCAACCAAAAAGAGGTCTAGAAAGAAAAAGGAGAAAAGATGACGACTTTATACCTCCAAATGATGCTATTTGAGGTAGATTTCTGATCTCCCACACTTCCTTGCTCCTAGCCCTTTTGTTTTCCCCAAGCTCCTTTCCTCACAAGATCTCCTCTCCAAAGCTTTACACACACAAGAATGAAACACCACACGAATTAGGGTTCTCTGAGCTCTCAAAGGACTGCAAAGAGGCCAAAGGAGGCTTATGCTTCCTTAAATAGGGTGCAAAACCCCAGGATTTAGGGTTTCATCTGCCAGCTCCTACTCGCCGAGTCCCAATATGGACTCGTCGAGTAGGTCACTTAACACGCGATCCCACCCCGCTGCTACTTGACGAGTAGGTCAACCAACTCGTCGAGTAGAGCTTCACCCAATAAATCTTATTTAAACAATACCTGAGAATCGGGGCGTTACAACTCTCCCCCACTTGAACTAGACTTCGCCCTCGAAGTCCGTCGGAATAAACAATGTCGGGTAATGCTCGCGCATCTCCGCTTCCGGCTCCCATGTCCACTCGGATCCCCTCCGATGTTCCCACTGTCCCTTTTACCAAAGGTATTTCCTTGTTCCGCATAATCTTCTTCTTCCTTTCCAAAATAGCCACCGGCCTCTCCACATAGTTCAGGCGTTCGTCGACCTGAATGTCATCCAACGATACCACTGCCTCCTGGTCCATAATGCACTTTCGCAATTGCGAAACATGAAATGTGTTGTGGATCCGGCTAAGATCCTCCGGAAGCTCTAGCCTATAAGCCACCCTGCCAACCCTGGCAACAATCCTGAACGGCCCGATGTAGCGGGGACCCAATTTTCCCCTCTTCCTGGAGCGGATCACTCCCTTCCAGGGTGAAACCTTCAGGAGAACATGTCACCCACCTGAAACTCCAGCTCAGATCGGCGTCGGTCGGCATAACTTTTCTGCCGACTCTGAGCGGTCTGCAGTCGCTGTCTAATATGTTGTATCATCTCGGGTAGTTTGTAGAACTACCTCTGTCCGACCCATCACTCTGTGCCCAACCTCGCCCCAGCAGACTGGGGTCCTACACTTCCGCCCATACAACAGCTCGAAAGGCGGGGCGCCAATACTGGAATGATAGTTGTTGTTGTAGGCGAACTCTACAAGCGGTAGGTGGGAATCCCAACTCCCACCGAAATCAATGACACACGCCCTCAACATATCCTCGAGGGTCTGTATGGTCCGCTCACTCTGCCCATCAGTCTGCGGATGGAACGCTGTACTAAAATGTAACCTCGTACCTAGTTCCTCGTGGAACTTCTGCCAAAAACGGGAAGTAAATCGGACATCCCGGTCGGAAACTATGGAAACTGGAACCCCATGGCGAGAGACAATCTCGCGGACGTACAGGTCGGCCAACTTCTCCGCCGACGAACTCTCCCGTATAGCTAGGAAATGGGCACTCTTGGTCAATCGATCCACGATGACCCATATAGCATCGAAACCCTTTGCCATCTTTGGCAACTTCGTGATGAAATCCATCGTGATCCGTTCCCATTTCCACATGGGAATCTCCAGGGGCTGCAGCTTACCATGCGGCCTCTGGTGCTCGGCCTTGACCATCTGTCACAACTAGGAATTCTGATACGCTGTAAACACTTAACAAAGAGTGACATTGTAGTTAAAACTTGAAAACATGTATTGTGTTAAATCAATGACAACAAAATTCCTATACAAGCATTCAAATAGTCAACAAAGATTGGAAACCCTAAAAATCCCGATTTAAGTTCATTTTTGGATTAGGATTTTCTTATTGGGCCTAATAGACCAATAAGCTTCCAATTTGACTATTTTGGACTTAGAACTCTTAAATGGGCCCTAATTGGACTCATTTGCATGAAACTTAATATTTTGGGCCTTATAAGCCTAAAATGAACTAGGTTATATTCAATGGGCCTTATTGGGCCATCACAAATCTAAATAGCCCTAATGGGCCATAAAACTCATTCCTTGATTTATTTTGGGCCGTGAACCATCTCCAAAGACCAAATGGGCCGAAAAACCATCAAATTGGGCCCATAATATGGACTTAAACACAATAGGCCCAAAATTCCCTTCTCTCTTCTCTAACCCTCGGCCCAAAGTTTAAAAAAAAAAAAGATTAGTGGAGGAATTAAGGAGAAAATGACACCTCACCTTTGTTTAGGGGACAACCAAGCTAAGTATACAACATACAACAATGTAATCACATGTATCTATGCAAAATCCCTCTTTTTCTTCCTCCTTCCCCTACTCTCGGCCGAGACCAACTCAAGACACATCTACACACTCTCAAAAATCTCTCTCAAACACATAAGAACACCCTCCTTCTTTTCATCCAAATTTTCAAGAATTAGAAGCATTCCAAGGAGTTTTTCATTCAAAAATCACTTCAAGTTACAAATCTTTGGTAAGTTCTTACTTAAATCCAAAGTTTAACTTCTATACCTCATCAAAAATCATCTTTTAATTCATTCAACTTCATGATCATA